AATCATCTTGTGGGGTTCGAATGCGATTTTATTGGTTGGATTAACTTTAGGTTATAACGGATTCAGTTGAAGTTGAAAAGTTATTGATGAGGTCTTCCTCAAGTTTCGGCTGTGCTCACGGACTTATTAGCTCTGTGAGCCAAAATTGCACATCGAAGCGAAAAATGTGCATACCGAAATTGTAACTGCTGAAAGCTAGACTAGATATCAACAAGATAAATTCAATGAACCATAAATCGTATGCGTTAGGGGATTTAACGTGCTAATTCTGATTGTGTATAGATTTAATGAAACAGCAAAATAGTTAAAACTGCAAAAAAGGAAAATCTGTGAAAAACAGGAGCTCAGAAGACGCAGTGGCATGTTGATTTGGCTCACGTAGTACGCGAGAATCAATGATACTTGTTTGACGTATAAATACGCGGAGACATTTTTTGAACTATTTCATTCGAATCTAATTCCAGTGAACATAGAAATTTTGGATAACGTCACGGTTAAATTTAGTCCGTTTAGGGCAATAATCGCTGGACACAGCACTCTAGTTACTTTTGTAAGTTCTCCTACAAAGGAGCTTCCGTAATCAGTGTACACTCGTGCGGGAAATATTTTGATTAAAACAATGTTTTATCTCCTGTTATTTTTTAACTGAACGAGTAAAAGCCATGGAAATTGATAGATCTCTTTGTTTACATTTCTGGAAGGAAATAAATAAACAAGCTATCCCTCCGGACTGCAGCTTGTCCAAAAGTTTCGGCTTTCCTATGTTTGCAGAGTTTAAATCTCATTTACCAATAAATCACATGCCAAGTATCTGTTAGCTGTCCCCACACCTTTTCAGCTGTGCATTTCAGCACACATATGAACAAACAGAAAGGACTCACTTGTTGACATTTGACATCCATTAAATCGAATCGCTTATTAAGTCCCTCAGAAATGTCCTTGACACCTGTTAGGGTAGATGAAAATTTGAGCAAACTGTCTGTTTCGACCAGAGCGAGATAAAGTTGTCCAATCTGCATCAAACACTCGATCCGTAGCAGACGAATCACGGGTGTGATACGCCAGTCGCCGATCGAAATCGGGTTTAGTGAATTCAGAAAGCTCAGCACTAGGAGTGCCTGGAACATGATAGAGAGAGGGGGGCAGTGGAAAGTTTCTGGTCAGTGTGAAATCTGTTCCTTTTTGCCATGCATGTGCGAGCAGCAGTATTCTACGAACGATCATGTTGTCAACAGATTTGCATCTATTCACTTTAGTTACATCTAATGAATGCAACCTACCGGAATGCACTCCTCGCGGCTAACAAGTGAGATGACGACATCCAGTATACCGGAAACAAATGTTGCCATATCTGCCAATTCGAACAAATCACGTAGAGGTTTTCGCAAACACGAATGTTCTTTCTCAAATTGAACCGGATCAGCATATAGTTGATCGTCTATCACGTTGGTCATTTGGAAGAACATTGCCGCCTATGAGGAATTCAGCCGGGGGAAATTTGAATTCCAAAAATAAGCAATAACACAAAACCCTGAGNAACCCTGAGTCAAGATATTACATACATCGACCGAAAGCGCAAATCAATAGTTCTAAAACGATACATTAATACGTTAACTGTTAAATGCACTGGATACAGTTGTCATTGAAGTGCTCAACGTCAACACACCACCGCTGAATGCTACAGTCCCTCCCAAACGTCAGTCACACGTATAATCCGGACACGCGAGAAGGATAAACCAGAACAGTATAAAGGACATCTGCGATGGGGATTCACCCTTTAATAACCAGCCACCCTCCGACAAAATCTGACTGTGTTGTGGGGAGAAAGGTCAAACGAGGGAAGGAATTTTAGTGGAATTTCAATAAATTGCTTCCGAATAGTCGAAAACTTTTATTTGGCCTGTGCACATGGCACAAAAGATTACATACATCTCCACATAGCTCATCAGTTAGGTGCCCAACTTGACTGAAATACGAATAAAGATAATTGTTGTTTTTCAATAAAATTTCCCCAATCACCATTAGGCGGATAGATTTCGTCTGAAGACTAATCTCATTCCCACGAATTCGGTAAACACGTGAAATCAACTGCAGATTCTTATGCATTTTGACTTAATTCTATGAGGAATTGGTTTGTAAAAATACGTCTCATCATGTTTTTGTTCGCATCCAAATTGGTCAAAAGGACCGTTTTTATCTCGCACAGATCTTATTCAGTGTCTTGGAGGATTTCATCCGGCTTCCCAAGGAAAGAAAAGTCATAAAGATGAAGAATAGCTATTTCACTGTTTCAGGCGAAGTAAAAAAGATTCCATGTGGGAGAATTCTTGGCTATTTAATCTTTGTTACTGAACCCTATTCAGTTCAGACGGGATTCTCCAAGTTGATGCTAAAAGATACCTCCAACATTTTAGGGGCTTTTTTCACATCGCGAAGGGACTCAATGTTTTATACCTTCTCTTTGTGACCAAGTTCACCTAAATCACTCAAAATAAACTGCCCTAAACATGAGTAAAATGCGTTCAAAGGCGTGCAGTCGAAGCAGGTATGTGATCAGCTGTGTATCTGAAACCGCTTGTAATCCGTACCCTTTGGATGAAATTGGATTGTATTGGATTGTATTCGTATAACTTTTGCTTCCATTTCAGTTAAAAATTGTACATTAATCTTCACACGTGAGAGAATATAGAAATAGACAAATCCAATAGATTGCTGTGTAAAGAAGGAATAAAATGAGGCCGATCATGGAGCATAAGTCGTTGTTTTTAAGAGGTTCAAGGGATTCCTTCAAAACACGAACAGTAACGCTTCAACAAACACAAAGATGTCTATATGTGCTTGATATGCAAGTGGGTGAGCACAGAAGAAGCACAAAAGAGCCCAACGTGTTGAGATTTCTGACTGCCGTATGAGAGCACGCACACACACGCACACATACAAAAACACATAGATTGGGTATAAACTTGCTTCTTCCAGTTGAAAGCAAAAGATTTCCTATAGTGAAAAGACAAAATGTGATCTACGCGGACTAACATTAAGCACCTTAATCAGGTTTCCTTTGACCCGTTGAAAATGACGAAGCACATATAAGTGGATACAGCGAGGCAACCTTGATGTGGCAAAGAAAAATATTGATTTCAATTGTTCGTTAACCTCTGTACCAACAGAAACAGACACGATAAAAAATTTTTGTAAGCTTAATTGAAACCCAATGTGTTATAAACTACTTCTGAGATTCATCAGCAGCTTTAGGCAAAATCAACCATACCGAGTATGAACAAACAAACCAGAAGGTTTCAAATTTCTTACTCTGATTGCGTCCACCGTCATCACCTGAAACATGTTGATTTCCTCAATCGATCCAATATTGTAACTGTAAGTAAAGAACAGATTTATTCAGCCCCTTATAAATATAACAGAACTAACCGGAAGAGAGTGGCACAAACGTGAGCTAGGATAAGACATTGTAAAGTGCTGTGAGAACCGCACAGCTGATGGCATCGCTCCATGGGCGACATATTCAATATTTTGTTGGACCAATACAAAAGTAGTGATGTTTGTTTTCCGATCACGTGATCAATTGCAGTCAAACCAAATTTTAGAGCTTCTCTATAAAATGAAATCAGACGAACAGATTGTACTGGGATTACCTTGAATCATTCCGTTTCAGATGTGTCAAACACAGTTCCAAGTTAAAAACGGCCGCATCGCAAGTTCCATCTCGTAATCGACTAAGCACTAATTGGTCAAATCAAGTGGGATTTGATTTTCGAGGAAGCAAAACTTACCAAGAGTTTTTTGCAAACTGTTTGTTTGCTGTTCGATATTGACACGAATCGCCTCTCCGACGTGCATATCATTACGAGGGGAGAAGAGGAATTTTCTTTGAGGTTTCCATTCGGTTGACACCATTTCGGACAGGGAATCCTGTGAGTTAATGAGGAACCACTGACAAGTTCTAACCACATCTCATAAACAAAACACACTAACGGCTGCAGGTAAGATGAACAATTCAATCAATAAATCGGTCCAACAGATCCATGTACGAGTAAGCTTGCGTATGATAATATATGAGATAAGAATATTGTTCTATGAGCAAAGGAACCACACTGTCCAAGATGCAGCATTCCATTCGCTATGATAAAGTAACATTCAAAGTTCGCAGAATATGCTCATATACAATGCATAAAAAAGCGTTTACGTCCGCGAGGAAGAGTTTTAAAACCACATGCACCATCTCAGCGACTTTTTATCTAACCATGCACACCGAGTGGATCAACTTAGGTCTGCTCTAGTGCGCAGTTGCCAATATTATCAGAAAACATGAAACCAGGCGGAAACTAATTTCACAAAAGGAGCATTTTGTCGCCGTTAAGTGTTTCACTTCAAATAGAAATATAGTAATGTCTCGACGGAATAGAGGGGCCGATTGGTTACAGTACGATAGAGCTGTTTGCCACTCATAATCGGAGAAAATCTTCATTAACTTCAATAAATTTCACACTATACCCCACGAAAACAGCATTATAGAATAACTGGAAGCTTTAACACCCATTTTGAAAGAACTTAAGTTGGTTAGTAAATTTGAATGAGTTGTCAATATTCATGGAATCCATTGTTGCGGATTCTGTAATGGATCAACTAGAGAATAATGGCTATTATCCCCAGCCCAGCACAAGTTTCGGAAAAATCTTTCATGGGAAACTAGTTTGATTTTGGTTCAGGACGATTGGACCCATTCTATAGACCAAGGCAAACCGGTTGATGTTATTTAACTGGACTTCTCTAAGGCATCAAATACTAACACGGAAGCTATATAAATATGGACTCGTACTTAGCTGGATCGAGAGGTTTCTTCGACTGCGTACCATGTATGTTCGTGTTTTTGATTCACTTTCTGTTACAATAGATGTCAACCGTGGGGTTCCACAAGGATCTGTACTAGGCCCACAACTTTATAAACGATCTCCCAGACGTCCTCTAACCACAAACTCTGCTGTTTGCAGACGATGCCAAAATATGGAAGACAATAACAAAACCAGAAGATTCAATTGATTTTCAGAACACCTTTGACGAAGCCCACAGTTGGTTTGTCTCCAATGACATGGAATTCAACGTTGCCAAATGTAAAGTTCTATCACCACGCCACAATGGTCGTTTTTCCTACACCCTCGGACACGAAACTCTGCATCATGCTCCATCCGAGAAAGGATTTCGGAGTAGTCATTCCCACAGATTTGAGTTGCTCCACAAACTGTTCTAGGGCATCATTCGTGGCGGTAAAACAGGTGTTTAGATCGTTTGGATCGTTTTAGCCGGCTTTAGTTCCACGTCAGTTAGCCACATATATTCATCCATACACCGAGTACCCAATTCACGTCTGGAACCCATGGCTGCAGCGAGATCGGAAGGCACTTGAACATCCGAAGAGAATGGTTACCAAGATGATCAAAGGTCTACATTCGAAGACCTGTCTACAGATTACAGTTATTGGGGCTTTACTCGTCTCAATATCGTTAAATGAGAGGTGATATGATCTTACTGTATCATATTTTCCAACAGCCCAACCATCCATGTAGATCTATCTCTCTCAACCAATTTGCATCTCAGAGAGCATCCACTGAAGTTGGCATTCCAAAAGAGCCGTCTTGACTGCAGACGCCGATCGTTTACGGTCATAGTGTGCAGCAAATGGAGCTCTGTACCACCTCACATGGTCTATGCGCCAACATTAGTATCTTTCAAGCGTCAACTTGATGATTCTCTGGTAAACATTATGTTTCAACACCCAAGTACATAATATGTTCTCCTGTGCTTGTCACGAACATTACATTACACTTTTACGTACATGGACTAACTTGTGAATCGTGTTCCGAACCAAAGTGTAAACACCGTATGGAATTTGATAAGCGAAGTCTTTTAAGTTTTTCCCATAATAAAAATTTGAATTTTACTAGATTCTCATCACCGCTGCTTGAATGATTGCCCACGGTGCATGAATCAACTATCTCGATAGGATGGAAATGTCCAATTCTCTATATCATGCTATCGCCCAGTGGATCATTGAAGTTATAGAGCCGGTTCACTAAAAAATAGCGAAATACTGTTAAAGGGTTCACAAAATACTTCTTCTAATTTATCTTATGTAACATCATTCTTTTCCCCCCTGAGCCCATCAACATTTCCATCAGCCGATCCCATCTCCCTACCGTTAGCTCACCTGACCTTTGGACTCTCCCCTCTCCATGAATCCGGCACTGCCTACTGTCTTTTATCACTCACTTGCTTTCTTTGCTAAATTTCTGTCCTCGTTGTAAACTCAGCTGTAAATGGCCAATCAAACGTTTTACGGATGCAATCGCCCAATTTTATTTACTGAAAATAAATCTGAAATTCGTTTAATGAAGTATCTTGAAGTGACTTTTTCCCAAGAACCCTGTGTCTAGGCAAAATGCGAATACATTCAGAAACATGCGAATATTTTCGTCTCACGGTTTAGGCCTGCTGACTTTATATATCCGACATTATTCACATAAAATGCCGCTGTAATCTGGTGTTAGTTCAGTGATTTTCACTGATGTCTAACCAAATTCTGCCATTCTTCAGATCAGTGTGCTCGTCATTTTGAATAGTCGGTCTATCAAAGTTTTATCACGTTGTCATGGTGATATTCTAATTTTGCATTTGCAAATGTCATAATTGAAAGCAAAGCACGTATTATGTGTGCGGAAAGCTATGAAATAACATTACATTTGTAACGACCCATCCACCGCGCATTATTTTCACTGAGTTTATGTATCTTGTGCAAAAACAAGTGAGGCGACTCCCCGATACAAATGCAGTTCTAATGCCAGACGCTCTCTATGGTTGAAAATATTTCCCAAAACCTCCATTAACAGACCAGAAAACTTCAAAAGTAGACATACCCATACATTTTCATTTTTATTTTTGAAAGAAAAATGGAAACTGCATCGTGTGTTGTTATAGTGTAACATATTTGATTTACCAACTGCAGTAGACAATGATAATGGTGCTTGGGAGTCTTGTGCCTGAAATGAATCCCTTGGGGGATGTCTAAAGTCAGTTTTTGAATTGAGCCGGATCAACTGGTCCTACTTCTGTGGGGTTAACTATCATTAGCTGAGTAAACCCATA